ACATGTATACCACTGTTCAGAACTGTGCTAGCTAACCATGTGCTGATTAGCATCTTGGGTTCAAAAGTATCTAAAATTGTCACTACCGAAACAGTCACTACCAAAACATTTGGTGGAGTTTCGGTTAACTTTTTTTTTTTTTTTTTTTTTTGGGTGTCAACGTGTATTTTATGTTTTAAAAATATTCATTTGTATTTCTAAGAAATAGAAATTTGAGAAATGTTGCCAAGCTGAAATACGTTTTTCATTTAACATTTATTTAAAATGTAACAAAATGTTTTTTTTTTTTTAATGGTTAGTTATATGTAACATTGGCTAAAATTACATTGCGTGTAACCGGGACATTGTACATACCGCAAAAACTTCTTCTTTTTTGAGTTTTCCATCATAAACTCCTTTGAACGTCCTTTTTTTCCCTCCAGAATGATCCAGACATTCTCCTTCGTCTCGGCATCTTCAGAGTTGGCTGTTGTGATCTCAATTTCATATTCTGAAAAGACGTTACAAAGAAACTTTTAATGCACAAAACAACTACACTGCTCGTGAGTTACACACGTAGGAAACGCTCTTCTCTTACTGGTCTTGTCACTGAGATCCAGAATATCGTTATTGGCACATGCCAGTTCCCTCATGATTTGCCCGTCGTCCTCACTTTTGGCCAGCCATCGGTCGCAGGGAAAGCGGAAGATTTGATCCAGCAGGTCGTCCTTCACATCGACATACTCCAGATGCCATCCAGGAGCCGGACCTGATCACAATGACGTACAGTTTAGACACAATATTGTCAAAATGGACTATTTTGCTCTGTTTCAGCAACCATTGCACCACTGATCAACACAATGGTGTTTCGTTCCTGAATGATTCAGCATTTTTGAACAAAAAGTCTGTCAATGATTCAACAAGCCAATCATAAAGACAGCTGCTGAATTCAAAACGGCATACTAGTGTACTACTCTTAGTATTTCAGCATATATTTCTATGGCAGAAATAGTAAGAACAGCACATGGTTCAGAAATCAGCACTTCATCACGTCATTCTTCAATGAATCAGCCGTTTTGAATGAATCAACGAATCAATCTTTGAATTAGTAAATCAATGTTTCCCTTATTTGCCGCTACCTAATATTCATATTTCAAGTATCATTTCATAGTTCTATATTCAATCTATGTTATACTTAAAACAATAATCTCATAAAATTATTTATGCAGTTGCACTGAAAAAAAATTGATTCATTGAATTTACTAATTTTTTTAAAGGTAAGTGTTTGCAATCAATTTATTTTAGCTACATTTAAAGAAACACATTTAGTTGACCATCTTTCAAAATTTTTTTGAAAAAATGTGGCTAAGATAAATTGTTTGAAACCACATACCTTAAAAAAAAATTTGTATAATTTTTTTCAGTGTGCGACTGCAGTGTAAATGCATCCATGGCATCTCTGAACTGCATTAAACAGTGGTTTACAGGTAATAATGGTGTAAATAATGTTCAGTTTCTTGCACAGATTGATCACTTCGCTTCATAAGACCTCAATATATCATCAGGAGCCACAGGTATTAATTTTGTGTTGCCTGATATGCTTTTTTTAAATTCTCAAAAACCGGTTGCTGCTGACTTACATTTTATGAATCACCAAGGAGCACGGTTTCAGCTAAAAATTTTCTTTACTGTTCTACTGAAGAACAAAACTCATCTATATCTTGGATGGCCTGAGGGTGAGTAAATTAACAGCAAGGGTTTAGGACTATTTACTGTTTTAGGATTATTTTTTAGTCAGTTTTTATCCTGTCTTCACTGAATAGTGTCTTGCTTTCTGGTGTTATAGAAATGGCCAAATACACACACACACTCACACTCACAGATTTACACACAGGCACACACACGCACACACACACACACACACACGCACACACACACACAATCACT